TTAGCGAGAGGGAGTAGACTTTCCAGACCTTCTCCCCCACCCCGAAGATGAACACTCTTCGGGTGCTACTGCACGTTGCCGCTCAGCGTGACTACGAGCTTCACTCTCTTGACTTCAGCACAGCTTTCTTGCAGGGCAGCCTGCACGAGGAGATCTGGCTGCGCCGCCCTCCTGGCTTCACTGGGTCATTCCCTCCTGGTACCCAGTGGAGCCTCCGGCGGCCGGTCTACGGTCTCCGCTAGGCACCACGTGAGTGGCACGACACACTGAGGACTACACTTGCGGCTCTTGGGTTCGCGCCTTCTACTGCTGACCCGTCGCTGTTTCTGCGCACCGACACTTCGCTGCCGCCGTTCTACATCCTCGTTTACGTCGACGACTTGGTCTTTGCCACTGCTGACACTGAGGCTCTCGCCCTGGTGAAGTCGGAGCTGCAGAAGAGACACACGTGCACAGACCTGGGTGAACTGCGTAGCTACCTTGGCTTGTAGATCACCCGGGACAGAGCACGCCGCACCATCACACTGACTCAGTCACACATGGTGCAGCAGGTCCTTCAGCGCTTCAGCTTCACCTGGTCCTCGTCACAGGCCACTCCTCTATCTACAGGTCTCTCACTCTCAGCTCCACCTTCGGACGAGTTTGTAGAGCCGAGTGGTCCTTACCCAGAGCTAGTTGGCTGTCTCATGTACCTGATGACTTGCACTCGTCCTGACCTCGCGTACCCTCTTGGTCTTCTGGCTCGCTACATGGCTCCTGGTCGGCACCGAAAGGTGCACATGGATGCTGCTAAGAGGGTACTGTGCTACTTGTGCAGTACATCAGGCATGGGACTCGTGCTTGGAGGGATGAGCTCAGTTGTCCTCACTGGGCACTCAGACGCCTCTTGGGTTGACGACCAGGCTACGCAGCGGTCGTCACAGGGTTACACCTTCAGCCTTGGCTCTGGTTCAGTTTCTTGGCGTTCTACACGCTCGTCTTCAGTTCTCAGCTCCAGTTGTGAGGCTGAGATCTACGCCACAGCCATGGCTGCACAGGAGTTACGCTGGCTCACCTACCTGCTGACTGACTTGGGAGAGCGGCCTCGTTCTCCTCCAGTGCTGTACGTCGACAACAAGGCTACCATTGCCTTGTGTGAGGAGCACAGACTGGAGCACAGAACGAAGCACATTGCTCTGCGTTACTTCTTGGCTCGAGAGTTGCAGCAGCGTGGTCAGCTTCGTCTGCGTTACGTGGACACTCGGGCCAACACTGCTGATATATTCACCAAGGCACTTCAGTCTGGTGATCATCAGCGTTTCTGCACTATGCTAGGGCTTGTGCCCACTTTTCCTCACTTGCTGTAGGCTTTGCTTGTACTGTGATCTATATACATATATATACCTGCATGCTTGCTTTGCTAGGTAGAGATCACTGTGCTGTTTGTGTTGCATATATGCCTCTGCATGTGGACTGGCCTTGTGGCCCTTTGCTTGTGCTCAGAGTGTGTGGTGACGTTGTGATCCACCCTGAGCTTTCTTTGCCTTTCTTGACTGGTCTTGTGACCCCTTGCTCTCCCCCACTTTGCCTATGGGGGTGTGTCAAATGTTATGTCTACTACAGTTTGTTTAGGCTGTAGTGGGGTAGTTACTATGGGGTACAGTAAGTTTAGGGTTTCCTACTTGTACCCAACTCTTTCCTAGTGCAATCACTTTTGTTCATTCTGACACTGAGATCTACGCAGGGGCCATGGCTGCACAGGAGTTACGCTGGCTCACCTATCTGCTGACCGACTTGGGAGAGGCGCCTCGTTCTCCTCCTGTTCTGTACGTCGACAACAAGGCCATGCTGGCCTTGTGTCAGGAGCACAGACTGGAGCACTGAACGAAGCACATTGCCCTCCGCTACTTTCTTGCTTGAGAGTTGCAGCAGCGCGGTCAGCTTCATCTTGCTTACGCGGCCTCTCGGGCCAACACTGCTGATATCTTCACCAAGGCACTTCCGCCTTGTGATCATCAGCGTTTCTGCACTGTTCTAGGCCTTGTGCCTACCTTGCCTCACTTGCTCACTTCTTGACTTTGTTTGTACTGTGATCTATATATCTATACCTGCATGCTTTCACTTGCTAAGTTTTGATCACTGTTGTATAACTCTGCATGTGAACTGGCCTTGTGGCCATCTACTTGTGCTCAGAATGCGTGGTGACGTTGTGATCCACCCTGGGCTTGCTTTGCTTTTCTTGACTGGTCTTATGACCCCTTGCTCTCCCCCACTTTGCCTATGGGGGTGTGTCAAACTTATATGCTATAGTCTGTTTAGGCCATAGTGGGGTATTTCCTATGGGGTACAACAGTTTTAAGTTTTCCCACTTGTACCCACCCCTTTCCTAATGCATTCACTCTTGTTCATTTTGACATAGTATCAGAGCGATGGTCTCGGGTTCGAATCCCAGTATGTGCACTTCGGGCATCCCAGTGCGGGGGGGTGTCAGAGGTCTACTGGTGATCCCCGATTGATCCTAGGAAAGGGTTACAGGTTCGTTGTCCTGGGGGGTTATGGGCGCATTGACCCGCTACTTAACAAGCCCTTTTATCCCAATGGTCTAGTGGTTGGGATTCTGACATTATATCCTCTGACCTGTGACTCCGTTTTCATGATCGTAAGCAGGGAACGCATGCAAGGTACATATGAAGTGGCAGATTAGTTTTTCTTCTATGTTTCAACTTTGTTGATACACTGTAAATAGTCGTTTTCTGTTTGCTTTTCGTGTGTGCTGCAGCGCAGCAGTGTCAGCCAAAGAGCCACATGCCTTGGATTCCAGACTTGGCTATCTGGATTGTCTTGCGGTGTAATATAGAGTCTTAGTGTGCCTAAGTCCTTCGCTATCCGTATATGTTCTGTCAATCAGGTATATTAGTCATGTGTTATAATATTCGAACACGCCCCTGATTGTATCGCAAGCTTAGAATGCCAACCAAAACTGATTTGTATTGCATGCGCAAGAAACGCACATGATTCGCCCAGCTGGTGGGCGCGTGCCTGGCACCGCGTTTTACAATCACAATCTAGATATGCGTTGGTTGCAGCTTGATCGAATGCCACGTGTAGGGTGAAGATGCATCCGATTCATTGGCCAACGTGGTAGCGTGCGAATTGAACACGAGCGGGGCTGATTGATGTGCGAATGGCGCACTGTGTCGAGAGGGAGATGGTGTGATCCACGCCGTTCTAGTCTTGACATTCGGCAAAATCGGGGCCGTATATGTCAGTGGGGGCGTTCGACGAACGTACGTGTAACGTACGCACGTACGTTTCAAGCGGCCAGTTGAGATTGGGTTGCTTTGATGTCACTCGCAAGTGACATATATGTCGCTTCCGTCGTAACTTTCTGGACGTATACTCGTTACTTTTTTGTTGCGCGTGCAGTCACATTGCCCAAGAAGCTTTTGACCTTGACTGAAAAGCTTTTTGGTTTTAGTATCGTAAAGGTCACGTATATGTGATTTTTTCGTAGCTTTTTGCACATGAAATTTCCGCGATGGTGATGCAACGCGGGTGATGCTCTGCCCTATTGCAATGGGGCCTCGTACCTCCATCAGGTTGGCATTTTCCCCCCAAGATTGAGACAAGCGTGTGTGAAGGCGTTGGGCCACCGCCGGATTGGTCAGCGCCACGTCGCGCAGTGCAGGTGCTCAAATGTCATGCCATGTCGCGCAGCACAGGTGTTCAAATGCCATTGCGACGGGACTTTCAAAAGCATGTTCATTGGCACCGAGAGGTGGTTGCCAGGCTCCAGTCTGGGACGGCCACGTGGGTGGCGTGTTGGGTTGGCTGCAGGTGGGTGTTTGGCGCGTAGCCATGACTGCCCGCCTCCAGCACAGACTGGGTAGGCGTGCCGACGGGTGTTGCCTCGAGCGCCGTGGCTGCCCGCCTGAGGCTGCCGCGCCGCGCCAAACCCTCCGCCCTGGCAATGACGCCAGTGTCATCAGGTCGGTGTCATGGGGGCGGGGAGGGGGAGCGCGGGGGGAGGGGAGGGGAGGGGAGGGGGGGGGGGGTGTGGGGAGGGGAGAGATTGGGGGGGGGGGGGGGGGGTAACGAGTCCATCGTGTCTTGGCGGTGGCAAACAGGGGTTGAAGCTCGGGCGGCATTTTTCGCGCCTGACCCGTGGTTGAAGTAGCAGCGGGGAGAGAAGGGAGCGATGATGGGCAGATGATCATTGTGACACGTGGTTGACAGGTGGATAGGTGGAAGGGGTGGGAGCTGAGAGGTAGAACTAGGAGAGGGGAGGAGGAGTCGCTGCTGTGCACGAGAGGAGAGGTTAGGGTAGAGAGGGTGTTTGTGAGTGTGCAGTGGCAAGCATGACCCTGGGGAGGCAAGGAGGGGAGGCTCCACCAGAAATACTAAATTCATCAGGGAGTAGACTAGGAGATTCTTAAGAAACATGCTTACCACTGTCTTAGAAGTTGCTCCTTCAGTTTGCTAGGACACACGTGTCCGAAGAGGCAGTTGAAGGGTTCTATGGTAAGTGGGAGGGAACGGAAGGGTGCTCTGGCCTTCCTCAGGTCAGGTGATGTTTGGAGAGCTTGTTGCAAGCTGGATTCCATTATTTGTCAAGTGGATCTCAGGGATTGGTTGTGCTGTGCTGTGCACTCTTTTTGTCTCTAATTTCTTATCACGAATCAGCAGTCTGAAATCTGGTACCACTTGTAAGCTTCTGTTAACCTACCAGGCACACAACTGTGCAAAGCCTCTCTCCGTCGAGCCTCCACTATTGATATTTTGACCCCACAATTGCAAATCTCTCGTGGTGGATAATGCTACTGCTACAATCCTAAGGTGTACATGTGCCCTTTACTTTCTGGCTTTTGCAAAACTGCCTGTAAGAGGGCCACCTCCAGAGCATCTCAACCCTGATCAAATCTTAATCTACTCAGGAATCAGCTCTGTTTGATGCCGGCAGCGCGCGCCCTATATTGTGTGGGCCAGGGGCCAGGGGCCAGGGGCCACGGCACGGCATATGGTCATTGCCGCCGCCCCCTCCCTCTCCTTGCCTGCTGCTGCTGCTGCTGCTGTTGCTGCTGAGACGCCAGCTGCTGGGGCTCCAACGATAGTGACTCCACCACAGCTGAGGGAACAGCAGCAGCGGCAACAACACGCGGGAGAGGCGCAAACATGGTAAGGTGAGGGTGGGCGATATATGGATGAGACAAGGCATCTGCTGGGGTTCCAAAGAGAGTGACTCCACCACAGCTGTTGGGAACCGCAGCAGCAGCGGCAATAACACAGGGGAGAGGCGCAAACATGGTAAGGTGAGGGTGGGGGATATATGGATAAGACAAGCCAGCTGCTGGGGCTCCAACGAGAGTGACTCCACCACAGCTGAGAAAACAGCAGCAGCGGCAAAAGTGAAATCGGGAAAAGGAGTAAGCATGGTAGAGAGAGAGAGAAGTATCCTATCTGGAATAGTGTGTGCATGCTGATGGTGTGGGGCTCCAACGACAGTGGTAGGAACAGCAGCAGCAACAACGGCAACTGCGGCGATAGCAACAGAAATGGCAGCAAGAACATGGTCGGGTCAGGGAAGTATCATCGGAAAGACGTGACAGCTGGTGTGGCTCCACGGAAACAGTCAACGAGAAACGCGACAAGCAGAAATGCTGAAGGGAAAACACAGCGCACGCATGTACTCGTGTGTGTGAGAGTGTGTGTGTGTGTGTGTGTGTGTGTGTGTGTGTGTGTGTGTGTGTGTGTGTGTGTGTGTGTGTGTGTGTGTGTGTGTGTGTGCGTGCTCGTTCGTACCCTCGTGGCCACGTGCCATGAGAGCGAAGAGCGGGTTTTGAGGTGTCATACCACCAGGGCCTTAGGCATGTACGTGCATGCATGCATGAGAGTGAAGAGAAGATTGTTTGAGATGCTCCATCTTCTTGGCGTGTGTGTGTGGGCACGTGATACCACTACCATGTGCGCATGTGCATGTGTGCGTGTGTGCATGTGCATGTGTGCGTGTGCGCATGTGCATGTGTGCGTGTGCGCATGTGCATGTGCGCATGTGCATGTGCGCATGTGCATGTGTGCGTGTGCGCATGTGCATGTGCGCATGTGCATGTGTGCGTGTGCGCATGTGTGGCAAGTGGTATTCGTACCGTCTGGCCCGCGGGCCATGAGGGTGAAGAGCAGGTTGTTGAGGCGCTCCATCTTCTTGGCGTCCTGCGCCTGGTCCGTGCGGAACTTGATGCACTGGGGGGAGGGGGGGAAGTGGGGGAGGAGGGGAGGGGGGTGAGGAGCCAGAGATGTTTTGAGGCAGAGTAGGGAAGAAACAGGAAGAGGCAAGAAGGCTGCACTTTGAGGCGCTCCAGCTTCTTGGCATCATGTGCTCGATCAGTGCGAAACTTGATGCGCTGGGGGGGGTGGGGGGAAGGGGAGGTGGGGAAGGTTGGGGAGGGGAGATTTAGGAGATTCAGGAGAGTAAGGAGAGGTAGGAGAATGAAGAGTGTAGGGAAGAAGGCGATAGAGACGAGAAGGACATGCGTTGACTAGAAGTGGCGAGACACATGGCGGCCGTTGCCCCTTCCCAGTGCAGAACATGATGCACTGGGAGGGGGGCAACGGCCGCCATGGGGGGTGAGAGGGGGAGCAAGGGAGAGAGGGGGAGTAGGGATGATGAGGGCGGGGTAGGCAAGCGAGTAGTAGGGGAGAGAGGGGGAGAAGGCGCGAAAGCAGGGGTGAGCAGCGAGCAATGTGCAAGAAGAGGGAGGTGAGCGACGTCCAACACTCCCTCACCTGCTGCACCACTCTTGCTGCGTTTGATCTGAGCGCAAGGCGATGCAGTGGAGGGAGGGTGAGCAGGAACAAGGGGCTACAAAGGACCTTCACTGCATCGAAGGAACAAGGGGCTACAAAGGACCTTCACTGCATCGAAGGAACAAGGGGCTACAAAGGACCTTCACTGCATCGAAGGAACAAGGGGCTACAAAGGACCTTCACTGCATCGAAGGAACAAGGGGCTACAAAGGACCTTCACTGCATCGAAGGAACCAGGGGCTACAAAGGACCTTCATTGCATCGCAGGAACAAGGGGCTACAAAGGACCTTCACTGCATCGAAGGAACAAGGGGCTACAAAGGACCTTCACTGCATCGAAGGAACAAGGGGCTACAAAGGACCTTCACTGCGTCGAAGGAACAAGGGGCTACAAAGGACCTTCACTGCATCGAAGGAACAAGGGGCTACAAAGGACCTTCACTGCATCGAAGGAACAAGGGGCTACAAAGGACCTTCACTGCATCGAAGGAACAAGGGGCTACAAAGGACCTTCACTGCATCGAAGGAACAAGGGGCTACAAAGGACCTTCACTGCATCGAAGGAACAAGGGGCTACAAAGGACCTTCACTGCATCGAAGGAACAAGGGGCTACAAAGGACCTTCACTGCATCGAAGGAACAAGGGGCTACAAAGGACCTTCACTGCATCGAAGGAACAAGGGGCTACAAAGGACCTTCACTGCATCGAAGGAACAAGGGGCTACAAAGGACCTTCACTGCATCGAAGGAACAAGGGGCTACAAAGGACCTTCACTGCATCGCAGGAACAAGGGGCTACAAAGGACCAATCCAAGCAGAAACGAAGCAGGGAGGGAGGGAGCAGGGGAGGGACCTTCACGCACCGAACTAAAAGGGTGCAGCCGGGGGGGAAGTGAGCATGGGAGAACCCTAAACCTTGAGTGCAAGGAGGGAAGATTTTGAACCCTAAACCTTGAGTGCAAGGAGGGAAGATTTTGAACCCTAAACCCGGAGAGATGGAATGGAATGGCGTTACAACATGGACACACCCCTAGATGACACTCACTAGCAAACCCCTTTCATCACTCCGACTCACCAGTCCCTCGCCCTACCACCACTCACCACCACGCGGTCGTCTGTCTGTGGCCACGTGAAAAAAGAGGAGTTTTGAGGCGTCTCAAAACTCCTCTTCTTTTACCACGCGGTCGTCTGTCTGTGGCCTTGAGCTCCAGCGTGCCATCACAGCTGTGGTACAGGCAAACACCATCCGTACCCCACACAGTGACTCGGACTCTCTTCCCTCTCGCCCTGCCACCACCCACCCACCCACCCACCCACCCACACCACCACTCACCACGCGGTCGTCTGTGGCCTTAAGTACCAGCTTGCCATCGCAGTGGCGGTACTTGCTCACATAGCGGAACTGAGGGGCAGGGGCAGCAGCATTCGAGGGAGGGCGGGAGGGAGGAGGGGGGAAGGTGGAGAAGGGAGGGGAAGGGGATGCGAGTGTGTGTGGGTGTGAATGTGAATGTGAATGTGGGTGCGCGTGCATGCACATGTGAGTGGGGAAAGAGACGGGGGAAGTGCGGGAGGAAGAGAGGGGGAAGATCTGGCGGAAGAGAGGGGGAGAGGCGGAGAGGGGGGACAGGAAGTTGCTCGAGCAGCTTCTCTAACGTCCAGAGGGCAAGCAGAGCGGGTGGAATGGGGAAGGGCGGAACGTTGGAAGGCAGAACGTTGGAGGGCGGAACGGTGGAAAGGTGGAGGGGGGAGGGAGGAACTGTGGAAAGGTGGAGGGGGGAGGGAGGAACTGTGGAAAGGTGGAGGGGGGAGGGAGGAACTGTGGAAAGGTGGAGGGGGGAGGGAGGAACGGTGGAAAGGTGGAGGGGGGAGGGAGGAACGGTGGAAAGGTGGAGGGGGGAGGGAGGAACTGTGGAAAGGTGGAGGGGGGAGGGAGGAACTGTGGAAAGGTGGAGGGGGGAGGGAGGAACTGTGGAAAGGTGGAGGGGGGAGGGCGGAACTGTGGAAAGGTGGAGGGGGGAGGGCGGAACTGTGGAAAGGTGGAGGGGGGAGGGCGGAGCGGGTGGGCGGGGAGGGGAGGAGCGGATTGCCTCAGAGCTGCCGACCAGCCGCGCCAGAAGGAGGGGGGCGGGCGGGGGGGTTGGGGGAAGAGAGGCAGAGCGGATTAACGTGGAGCTCCGGCGGGCTCCTGTTCTGCCCTCAATTGCGTCGTTGCTTGGAACCGCCACTTCTGACGAGCCGCCGCGTGCTTTGAGAGAAGGTGCACGCCGAGCACAAGTAGATCGCTCAATCACACCGTTACGTTTTGGGATTTGGTTACGCGCACAAGCCGAAACCGACCTTGGAGGGGTCGGCTCGAAAGAGCACCTCCGCCTTCTCCGCGAACTCGTCCCACGTGTCGACGTACACCATGCGGGCCCGCTGACACGCGCCAAAGGGACTGAGAAAGAAAAGCACGGGATTTCGGAGCGCTTCAAAGTACAGCCCGATGTGAACTCTGTTAGGAGTGGTTCGCCGACTCTAGAGCGTGAAATACGACAAGATTCGGCACTACGGGAGATCGTGTAGGATGGAGATTGGCCGGAAAATATCTTAGGACGGTGGGAGGAACTGGTAGAGAAAGGGTAAAGCGGTGGTACGAGCGGCCCAGAAATCTATGTTTGAGGCTCAAGTTGAGTCCACAAGCAGAATTCCGGGTAACCCTAGTTCCCACCCAAAAATCGGGAGATTTGGGATCAATCGGCAGAATTTACCTGCTGTGAGGGCATGTTCTTTTGAGAGCAACTTTTGCCAAAGTTCGACGTTTGAGAGTGGTTATACAAGAGGTATTTACGGTTCAAAACATAAGCGTGACGGTGCAAAGCGGTCTATGTCCCACCACCCAGCCGCTCCACTCTCCACTCGTAGCCTGCTAGACGCAGCAAGCGAAGCGCGACTCGCTCCTTCTGAGTTTTCTTATTTAGACAGCCTATGAGACAAATCTGTGGATTCTACGGCTTGTTACTTAGGTGCGGCGATGCTTTTCCGCGGAGGTTGTATTTCGTCGGGAATCCGAGGCCGCCACTATCGCGCGTCGCGGCTAGTTTAGCTGGCCTCCGCGAAGCTTAGTAGTCATTCTGTCACACCGTGCGGCGGGAGAGTGAGACGCGGACGAAGGGGCTGACATGTGACTGAATCGACAGTACTTTAAACGAAAGAGAGCAGGCGCGTTGCGGTTCGGTGTAGTGTGGTGGGGGGATGGCAGCGACGCGCACCGGCGTGTATGTGGACGACTTCCTGGCAGGTGAGGCGAGACAAGAGGATGTGATTCCAGCGGATGTGATTGAGCGGATGTGATTGCACATGAGTCAACCTGGAATGGATGGACTCTGGGAGGATTTGACCGCAGGCAATGCGATTCTAGGGGATGTAATGTTAGAAGAAACGGTTTTACAAAGGAAGTGATTCTATGTGAGGTGAACCTATAAAAGCGAGATTATAACATGTGGCCAGCCTCATTTATCGCCAGCCTTATTTTTCTGTTCGCGCATGCCGTTGGTTTCCACACACATGCTCTTTGCGCCATGCGCTGCCGTTCTGTTTCACTCCTCTTCACCCTCCCCCTCTACCATCCCTCCCCAGATTCTCCTCGAGCTGCCCTCTCTTCCACTCGCAGAGGTCTCATTCCTTCTCTGTATCTCTCTCTTACACACCTATCCCCCACCCTACAGAGGTGTCATCACTGCCCCATGAGCTGCAGCGCATGCTCTCTCTCATGAGAGAGTTGGACGGCCGATGCCAGGGTAGGTGCTAACCTGCATCGTTGTTGCCAAGGGGTGTGTATTTGGCAATACTGGGTGCGCTTCTTGTTCAAATGTCTTATTTTCGCTCTCTCTCGCCTACTCTATTTCTCCCCTTCCACTCCCTCGCTCATCCACTCACCCCCACTCGCATCCACTCACCAACTCACCTGTTCCCCTTCCAATCCGTGAATGATAAATCCTGAATCTCTCCCTCCCTCCCTCCCTCCCTCCCTCCCTCCCTCCACTCCCTCCCTCCCTCGTTCGACTCTCCCTACCCGCAGCGCTGCGCATGGAGATTCAGAGAGACATTCGGGCGGGGCTGACAGCCATAGAGGAGAGGGAGGCAGTCCTCAGAGCAGGTGCTGGTGCTCAAGATGGGCATGGACATGAAGGTTTGGATGGTCATGCAGATGCTGGTGGTGATAGGGATGGGAATGGTGATGGTGACGGGCATGGGGAGGGGGAAGGGGACGAGGACGATGCTGCTAGTGACAGCGATGCTGCTGAGGATGCTGGTAATGGTGACAACGAGAGTGATGGGGCTGTTGTGACCCCTGCTGCCCTCTCTCCTGCCACGGGTGCTCTGGATGAGGTGCCGGGTGGTGAGCAGCAGGGGCGAAGCAGAGGAGGGGAAGCGGGGGATGTGGGAGACGCTGGTGGGATGAAGACTGAGGCTGGGGAGAAGAGTTTGAAGCAAGGAAGCAGCACAGCACAGGTGGCGAACGCGTCGTCTCTTCCACCGAATGGGTTACTGGCAGGGAAGGCTGACAAGGAGGCAGGAGGAGGGGAGAAGCGACCGAGGGGGAGGCCGAGGAAGAGAGGGAGAGGGGAGAGGGAGGGCGTGGGGGGGGAGGAATGGGTGGGTGGTACGGTGAAGGTGGAGGAGGAGGTGGAGGAGGGTGGGGGGCGGAAGAGCATTGGGAAGAAAAGGCCACGAGCACAGCAACACCAAGTGGGGCAGCAGCAGCAGCAGGTGCTCCAGCAGGAGGCGGAAAGCAAGGATGAGTGTGCGGTGGTAAAGGCAGAGCTTCCCATTGAGGGAAGGTTGGTGGTTGAGACTCCTGCTTCTGCTGCTCCAAGCATGGCGCGAGGCAGCAGCCCACACAATGGAGGAGGGGAGACAGACAGGGCGGCAAGGATGAGAGCGAGTATGGCAGGGGCAGGACTGGAGGAGGAGGGGAGGGGGAGGGATGGACGGGATGATGTCAGCGGTGACATCAGCGATGAGAGGGCTGCTGCTTTGCAGAGGCTGAGGGAGGAAATTTCCGAGAAGCAGGGGAAGATGCGGGCGCTGTGTGATGAGAAGGTCATTCTGGCACAGCAAGTGAGCGCACTGGTGAGCGTGTGGGGTAGGGTTCAGGTTTAAGGTTTGCAAGTGAGCGCTCTGTTGAGTGGTTGGGCATGGGCCAGTGAATGGTTGGTCAGGTCAGGGCATGGTGAGTGTGCGTGTGCAGGCATGGGTGGGTCAAACAGTAGGGTGTGGTGTTAGTCATGAGTCAGTGAGTAGAGGGGCATAGTCCGTCTCATGTGGTGCATGAGACCATGATTGCTTAGGTGCCTCAAAACGGAGACGACTTTAGAGGCGCCGCAAAAAGTGTCATGGGTCAGTGAGTAGAGGGGCATTGCCCCTTTCAAATGGTGCATGCCAGCATTTTTTTTGAGGCGCCTCAAAACTGAGACGATTTTTTAGGCGCCTCAAAAATCTTCATGGGTCGTCAGTGCCTCAGTGAGTAGCTAGCGGGGCGTGGTCCTTTTCATATGGTGCACCACATGGCACATAGACCATGACAACACCACATGGTCATGACAATCCCCGCACTTGCCTGACCCTCTGTGGTTTCCTTCCTCTCCATTGGCCCCCAAACCTCTCCTTTTCCTCCAAGCTCGAGAATTACCCCAGCTACAGCGCGTGCACTCTTCTGTTTCCTTCCGCTCCCCTCTGGTTTCAGGGCAGTCAGCAGCAGCAGTTTCCTACTTTCACCCCTTCCTTTCCACTCACCCGCTCCCCTTCAACCTCACCTCAAGAGTCACCCTTGCACACTTTACGAGAAATTGCACCACTTTCGCTTCCCTCTGTGTTTTGATCCATTCCCCCCCTCCATTCACCCCAGCTCAGTTTGAACCAGGAGCTGCAGCACTTGCCTGTCCCTCTGTGTTCCCGTGTCTATCCGTTTGCATCCCCATTTATCCATTCCTCTCCTTCGCTTTTCCACCCCAGCTGGAGAGCCACCTGCGCAGTTTGAACCAGGAGCTGCAGCACTTTTCGGAGGACCTCAAGCAAGGTGAGTGAGGACTTCACGTGCAGCAACTGCCGCTTGAAACACATTAACAATCATAGGGTGTTTGTTTGTTTGTAAATCCTTGTGAAAACCTCCTTTTTTTTTTTTTTTTTTTTTTTTTTTTTGAAATCCAGTTTCTTCAGTTCAGACCCCATTGTCTGTTGCATGCGGTTATGTTGGAATGTTTAGAAGCCTCTGCTCGTCCCCTTGCCTCTTGTCCCACCAAACCCTTTCATCCAACAGACGGACGCTTCATGGTGGATGATCCCTTCACACCCGTTCCTGACCGTCGGATCCTCTCCTCCTCCACCTCCACCACACCCCTCCGCACCCCTTCTCCCTCCCCCAACCTCCCTTCCCCCTACGTCACCCCCCGTCGCACCCCTGCTGCCCCAGCTGCTTCCCCAGCAGCAGGGGTGGGAGGGGCGCGGGGGTGGGGGGAACCGAAGGGGGAAGGGCGGGGGTTGAGTGCAGTGGCTGTGCTGGCATCTGGCAGTGGTGGGGAGGGGGGGGGAGGTGGCGGAGGGGGGGTGTGGGAAGCAAAGGGGGAAGCGTGGCAAGGAAACCAGGAGAGGGAGAGCGAGAGAGGGGCAGGGAGGGAAGCAGGGAGGGAAACAGGGAGGGAAGCAGGGAGGGAGGCAGGGAGGGATGCAGGGAGGGAGAGGGAGTGGGAGAGGGGAGGAAGGGGTGCTGCCCTCATGCCGCCTCCTGCTGCCCTCCCGCTCTCGAGAAAGAAGGGAGGGGTGAGCAGGGGCGTGCCGGTGGGGGCAGGTGGCGAGAGGAGGGAGGTGCCCGAGGGGGGGGCAGGAGAGCAGGTGTATGAGCCAACGTACTGCATATGCGGGCAGGTGTGCTTTCTTGTTCCCTTTCCGTCCCTTGTCTCCTGTTTCTGTATTCATATCAAACTCTTCAAGTTCCGCCTACTGCCTTTTATCCGTTTGAACTTCCATTCATATGGGGGCAGGTGTGCTTTCTTCATTTGTTCCTCTTTATCCGTTTCAACTTCCTTTGAAACCCCCGGTTTCAGTTATGGCCGATTCCTTCTCACAGTACCACCTTTTTCAACACTTCTACGTTTCTATTCCACTTACTGCCTATCCACCCACACTAATGGTGCCATTGCCAGGTGTCTTTTGGAGACATGATCGCATGCGATAATGCAAATGTGAGTTGCATCTGTGATTTTTATCGCAGGAACATGCATGATGTGCATTTTTTGGAATGCATGGGGATTGGATTGTGAACGTTCACATGCCCTTTTTTTTTTGCTGTTGGTGTGATTGTGAATGTGGATACGCATGTGCAGTGCATGTACATGTGCATGTGCATGTGCATGTGAATGTGCAAGGGAATACGCAAGTGAATATTTTTCATACATGTTCAGGTCAGTGCGAGGCAGGCGAGTAGTTTCACTACGAACAAGCGTGTGGGGGAATTGGGAAAATAACGCCAACCTAACTCAACCTCCCCCTTCTCTTTCCACCTTTCCCCCCCACTCCTATCTGCAGTGTGAGGGAGGCGAGTGGTTCCACTACGAGTGTCTGGGACTCAGCATCGCCATGCCCCGGATCCACGACAAGTGGTTCTGCCCTCACTGCACCTCCCTACACAAGAAAGGCATGCTGCACTTGCCACCTTAGAACTTGCACCGGACGAAAGATGATAGTGGTTATTTTTAGGTTACTGTTTGTATGGTTTGGAATTTCTACGCTTCGTTTTAGTCTCTGAGTGTCCTCTAAAGTAGACAACTCTCAGAGTTACGCAGGTGGAAAAGGTGTGACTAGAATGTGTTGGGGTACAAAAAATACCTAACCCTTACAACTGTACCCCACATATTGTCAAACTATATGTTTATTGTTAGTTAGGCTGTATTGGGGCTAGCTTTAGGGGGTACAGAATTTCTCTCGACATTCTAGCCTTGTACCCCCATCTTGACCTAGTCTACTCATTCTTGCCTAGTATTCTTAACATGGTGACTAGAGCAATAGGTCCTTAGGACCTGAGATTCGGGCCCACCATTGTCTGCCCCTACAGCCTTACCTACCTTGCCTGCTGCCCGCGCGCGCCTCGGCTGCGCGCGCCCGTTAAAATTCCTTTTTTTTAGCGCGCCCCACTGCTGCACCTCGCGAACGGCCCGCTGCAGCTTAGTGCGTCGCGCTGCCCGCCTCAGCCGCCCGTCGCCTGCAGCCGCGCGCAGCCCGCAGCCTGCCGCCCGACGCCGCGCACAGCCTGCAGCCGCGCGCAGCCCGTTGCCACGCGCGGCCCGCCGCCCACCGCTGCGCGCAGCCTGCAGCCGCACGCAGCACGTCGCCCCGAGCAGCCCGCAGCCGCGCGCAGCTTGCAGCCCCGCGCAGCCTGTCGCTGCTGCACTCTGCCCTGTCTGCACGCTGCCGCCTCGCCCTGCGCACTTGCTGCCCTGCCTTGCGCCTGCCTTGTCTTGCACCTTCCTGCCTTGCACCTGCCAGCCTGCCTGCCTGCCTACTGGCCTGCCTGCCTGCCTTGCGCCTGGCTTGCCTTGCACCTTCCTGCCTTGCACCTGCCGGCCTGCCTGCCTGCCTACAGGCCTGCCTGCCTGCCTTGAGTCTTGCGGCCTGCCTGCCTGCCTTGCGACTGCCTTGCCTTGCACCTTCCTGCCTTGCACCTGCCGGCCTGCCTGCCTGCCTACTGGCCTGCCTGCCTGCCTTGAGTCTTGCGGCCTGCCTGCCTGCCTTGCGACTGCCTTGCCTTGCACCTTCCTGCCTTGCACCTGCCGGCCTGCCTGCCTGCCTACTGGCTTGCCTGCCTGCCTGCTGGCTTGCCTGCCTGCCTGCTGGCCTACCTGCCTGCCTTGCGCCTTGCATCCATTGCACCATCCTGACTTGTGAGCCTGATAGCTGCTGTAGTCTACTGCCTTTGCCTACGCTGCTGTAATGGCGACGCTTAACGTTCTCGCGTTTGAGCCTGACGGTCGCCCGATAGAATTTGCCACTTGGCTTGACGACCTGCAGCTATTTCTTATGACGGATGCCAAAGACGGCGTTTCTCTGTTCGATCACGCGTCAGGCACTGCCGCTGCCCCTACTGCCACTGATCCTGTTCTTGACCGCTCACAGTGGCAGACTCGCGATGCTGCTGCGCGCCTCGCTATCCGTAACCACCTGCCGATCACTGAGCGCACGCATTTTAGTCAGCACAAGACTGCTAAGGCGCTGTATGACGCTGTAGTTGTGCGCTATTCCTCCCCAGCCACTGCAGCCGTAGGACGCCTCATCCTGCCCTACCTGTTCCCCGACCTGTCCTCGTTTTCCACCGCTGAGGACCTCATCTCTCACCTCCGCGCTAGTGACGCCCGCTTTCGTGCCGCTCTTACCGACGAGTTCCTAGCCACGAACACCCCACCGCTGTACTTTACCCTCTACATCCTCGTCACTCGCCTCCCTGACACTCTTAGCTCGGTCAGGGACCATTTCCTCGCCAAGGACCCTACCACTATCACGCTAGCCGACTTCGAGCAGCAGCTCCTAGTAGCAGAGAAGAACATCCTCGCTGTAGGTGCTGCCCGTGGCACTCCACGCACTCCCCTCTTTGAGGGGTGCTCCCCCTCCCCTCTTGCCCCCTCCTACGCCTCGGCTGCTGCTGCAGTCGACCTCCTCGGTGCTGAGAAGGTTGCAGCGACTTCCGCTCCTAGTGGGAAGCGCGGCGGTGGCAGGGGCGGCAAGGGTGGCAGGGGTGGTGGCGGTGGCGGTGGCGGGAGCGGTGGTGGAGGCGGCGGGGGTGGTGGCGGTGGTGGGGGTGGTCGTGGGGGTGGAGGAGGTGGGTGGGGCGGTGGTGGAACCGGGAGTGGTGGAGGTGGCAGCGGAGGTAGTGGGGGAGGAGGCAGTGGTGGTGGCAGTGGAGGTGGGGGCGGGAGTGGGACCAGCCATAAGGGGAGTTCCAGTGGTGGCCAGCAGCAGCAGCAGCGCCAGACCCCCTCTTCTCAGCAGCTCCATGACTGGTATGCCGGGCGTGGGGCGTCTGGGGGTCCTGGCCGCTGCCCCTATGTCATTCTCAGTGGTCCCCGTAAGGGTCGCCCATGCAACGGCTTTCACACTGAGTACCGCTGCTTCGCTCGGCTCAGCGACGCCTGGCGCGCCAAGTTTCCTGATGCTGCTGAATTCCCCAACTGGGCAGATCTGCTTAGACGTGATGTACCTATCTTTGATCTTGATTATGATGTAATCCTTGCTGCCATGTATGCATTGACTGTTAGTGCTGAGGGTGACTGTTACTTGTGTGTGCCGCCTGACCCCGGTATAGACCCAGGTATAGCGCCTGCAGCCCTAGGTGCTAGTGAGTCTGCTCTCCCTGGTACTGCGTCCGCTCAGGCCTTGCACACTTTTACACTTGACTCTGGTGCTTCCCGCTGTTTCTTTCGTGACGGCACCACAGTCACTCCCCTTCGTCGTCCTGTCCCTGTCTCACTGGCTGACCCCTCTGGGGGCCCGGTGCTTGCACGGTCCACCACTGTGCTTCCGTGTCCGGCGGTCCCGTCTGGTGAGCTGTCAGGTCTCCACCTCCCCTCGTTCTCTACGAACCTGGTGAGCAACGCCGTCCTTCAGGATCACTGGGTTGACACCTTTACTCCTGGAGGACAGCGTGTGGCGATCTGCACGTGCTCCCGGACAGGCCGCCACCTGGCCACGTTCACACGTGCGCCTGGGTCCAGTCTGTACACCCGCACCACTGCGTCGCGCTACACCCCTTTGTCTCCCCAGCTGTACGCGTCTGCTCAGGTAGCTACCCAGTGTGAGTGTCGCCGGCTGTCGCACGACACTCTCCTGTGGCACCACCGCCTTGGTCACCCCTCCCTGCCTCGCCTTCGGAGCATGCACTCTCGCTTCCTGGTCTCTGGCCTTCCCAGGTCTCTGCCTGCCCTCCCTCCCTCGCCTGCGCCGCCCTGCATTCCTTGTGTCGCGGGGCGGCAGCGCGCCACTCCTCACTCCTCCTCGTTCCCTCCCACAGAGGCTCCGCTGCAGACTCTCCACCTGGACGTGTGGGGCCCAGCCCGCGTCCGTGGACAGGGCCACGAGCGGTACTTCCTGCTGGTCGTCGACGGCTACACGCGTTACAACACGGTCTTCCCCTTGCAGCGCAAGGGGGACGTCCCTGATGTTTTGATCCCCTGGATCCGCGCTGTTCGTCTCCAGCTCCGCGAGCGGTTCCAGTCGGACTTTCCTGTCCTTCGTCTGCACTCTGACAGAGGTGGTGAGTTCTCCTCAGACCTTTTCGCAGCCTACTGTGCGGAGCACGGCATCCGCCAGACGTTCACGCTTCCAGCCACTCCGCAGCAGAATGGGGTTGCTGAGCGCCGCATTGGCTTAGTCATGGAGGTCGCTCGTACCTCCATGATCCATGCGGCTGCCCCCCATTTTCTGTGGCCGTTTGCGGTCAGGTACGCCGCACATCAGCTCAACCTCTGGCTCCGTGTCTCAGTACCGGAGACGTCGCCCACACTGCGTTGGACGGGGGAGGTTGGCGATGCGTCGCGTTTCCGCGTCTGGGGTGCCCGTGCCTTTGTTCGCGATACCACTGCGGACAAGCTCTCCCCTCGCGCCATTCCCTGCGTCTTCCTTGGCTTTGTCCCTGACGCGCCTGGCTGGCAGTTCTACGACCCAGCCACGCGCCGTGTCTTTCCGTCTCAGGACATCACCTTTGACGAGTTCGTCCCCTTTTACCGTCTCTTTCCCTACCGCACTGCCCCTCGCCCCCCCCCCCCCCCCCCCCCGCTCTTTCTCGCTCCAGGTGCTCCCCAGGTAGACCCCCTCCCCGCGCCAGGTCCTGCTCCTTCAGGTGTTTCTCAGGTAGACCCTCACGTGCCTGCGCCTGTGGAGGTCACTGGTGACTCAGGTCCTGTTGGGGGTAGTCCTGCTCGAGGTGCTGTGTCTGGGGGTGCTGAGCCTGGGGGTGCGGAGCCTGAGCCTGAGGAGCCTGGGGGTGCTGAGACTGGGGGTGCTGAGCCTGGGGGTGCGGAGCCTGCGTGTGAGGAGCCTGGGGGTGCGGAGTCTGGGGGTGCTGAGCCTGCGTGTGCGGAGCCTGGGGGTGCTGAGTCTGGGGGTGCTGAGACTGCTGCTCCGCGGTCTCCTTGGAGTACCCGTCTTCGTGCGCGTGTACCTCTCACCCCAGAGCAGCTGCACGACTGGTACGCTCGCCGTCAGGGTCACGCTTCTGGAGCTCGGGGCTCTGCTGCTGGAGGTACTTCTACTGCCGTTACTGGAGCTGGGAGTGGTGCTGGTCTCGGAAGTGCTCGTACTGGAGCCTCCGTGCTTCGCCAGGTTCTTAGCCTCCCGTCGTCTACTGGTCTTCCGTTTCAGCCTGGCTCACCCCTGCCTGCTCCTTCTCCTTACACTGAGCAGTCAGGAGGTCTTGCTGAGCGTCGTGAGACTGCGTCGCGTCCTGTCTCGCCTGTCCGTTCAGGTCGTCGTGTTCCTCGTCAGCGTCAGTGGGCTGTTCCAGGCACCCACCTTGTAATCCGTCGTCTTTCCTCTTCTTCGCCTTGTGTTCCTTTGCCGTCTCCTCCTAAGTCCTCTCTGCCTGTCGCTGCTGACACTGAGTCTGACCAATTTCGTACTGAGCACCCTACGGTCACACGTCTGTTAGCCACTGTTGTCACTGACCCGTCGTT